GAGCCCTCTTATCTACAATGCATGTCCCTAAATACCTGTGGGGGGAGGCTGTCTTGACTGCCTCATATCTCATCAATCGGATGCCCTCTCGCGTCCTGAATTTTCATTCTCCCATATCTTGCCTTACCCGCTCTTTTCCCTCCTTTCGGGCTCTCTCTTCCCTTCCTCCAAAGTTGTTTGGCTGCGTGGTTTTTGTTCATATTCCTCCACATTAAAGGTCCAAACTTGATCATAAGTCTGTTAAATGTGTCTTCATAGGATATCCTCCTAATCAAAAAGGTTACAAGTGCTACTCACCTTCTCTTCGAAAGGTCTTTGTTTCTATGGATGTTACTTTTTGTGAAACACAATCATTTTTTCCCTCGACTTCTCTTCAGGGGGAGTCTATTGGTATAAATGAAGACAAGTCTTGGAATCCAAATAATTCTACTGTCTTACCTTTACCCTTGGAAACATCTGGTTTCTTTACCTTTGGAGTCAGGGGGAGTTAATGTACAGGAGACAAGGACAGCAATTGTACCAGAGACTGGAGATCCTCCCGGTAAATGGGGAAAATTCTACAGCAGGCGAAAATCTCCTCAAGATCCTCTAGACTGCCAGGATTCTGACCCGAGTCCTAGTTCCAGCAATCCACTTGAGAACACTGGTACAGCTGACCTAGATGTGCCCATTGCCCTTCGAAAAGGTACTAGATCTTGCACTGCTCATCCTATTTCTCATCACATTTCATATGAAAAGTTATCTCCAGGTTTTCGTGCTTTCAACACTATATTAGACGGTACAAAAATACCAAAAAATATCCAAGAGGCACTTAATGACCCTAAATGGAGGGATGCAGTCTTTGAAGAAATGGATGCTCTTAAAAAAAATGGAACTTGGGAGTCCGTGGCACTTCCCAGAGGAAAGAAAACTGTAGGTTGCAAATGGGTGTTCACAATAAAATTTAATGCAGATAACAGCATCAACAAATATAAGGCCAGATTGGTTGCCAAAGGATTTACTCAGACTTATGGGATAGACTATCAGGAGACGTTCGCTCCCGTTGCCAAACTTAACTCTATCCGAGTCTTACTATCACTTGCTGCCAACCTTGATTGGCCCTTGCATCAATTGGACGTAAAGAACGCTTTCTTAAATGGGGACTTACATGAGGAAGTTTACATGGATCCACCACCTGGTTTTGAACAGGGAGATGGTTCTGTATGCATGTTGAAGAAATCTCTTTATGGACTTAAACAATCTCGTAGAGAGTGGTTTGAAAAGTTTACTCGTGTTGTTAAAGAAAGAGGATTTATCCAAGCTCAAACTGATCACACTTTATTTTTTAAACACTCCGATAGTGGCAAAATTGCTATCCTCATTGTTTATGTTGACGACATAATTGTCACAGGTGATGACTGGGAAGAAATAAAATCTTTAAAAGGGGGTTTAGCTAGTCAGTTTGAACTAAAGGATCTTGGATCTCTCAAATATTTCCTTGGAATGGAAGTTGCTCGTAGCAAGGCGGGAATTTCCTTATCTCAGAAGAAATATATTCTAGACCTGCTACAAGAAACAGGTATGCTTGGGTGCAAGCCTGCAGAAACTCCAGCTGAACCCAATATTAAATTGGGAATTGAAGATGGAAAAGATGTTGACAGGGAGCAATACCAAAGGTTGGTAGGGAAGCTGATCTACTTATCTCACACTCGGCCTGATATTGCATTTGCGGTTAGCATGGTTAGCCAATTCATGCATTCTCCTAAGGAAAAACACCTTAGTGCTGTTTATAGAATCCTCAAGTACCTCAAAAACACCCCTGGTCGAGGAATGCTCTTTAAAAGGGGACACAAGAGGATGATAGAAATCTATACAGATGCTGATTGGGCTGGCTCTGCTATGGACCGAAGATCCACTTCAGGATATTGTACCTATGTCTGGGGAAATCTTGTGACCTGGAGAAGTAAGAAACAAACTGTTGTTGCCAGAAGCAGTGCAGAAGCAGAATTTCGGGCGCTAGCCCATGGCATTTGTGAAGGAATCTGGTTAAGAAGGCTCCTTGGAGAATTAAAGATATCTTATTCTCTACCTGTGAGACTCTATTGTGATAATAAGGCTGCAGTCAGTATTGCTCAAAATCCTGTACATCATGACAGAACCAAACATGTGGAGGTTGATCGTCATTTTATCAAAGAAAAATTGGAGGAGGGTAATGTATGTTTGTCATATATACCTACCAAGGAGCAAACAGCCGACATTCTCACCAAAGGATTACACAAACCCATCTTTGAGGATTTAATTAGCAAGTTGGGGATGATCAATATATATCTCCCAACTTGAGGGGGAGTGTAGAATATTCTAGAGTTTTCTACTTGTTTCTAGCTACTTGTTCCTTTGAGTAGTGTGATGCCTCTTCGGTTACTGTGTATTTTATTTATTACTTCAACTCCTTAACTACCTTGTAATCTGTATATAAAGATCCCTTTGGGTGTCAATCAATATATGAAAAATACATTTCAGTCTTATATTTCATCAATACCTTATTTCCTCCACTAGGAGAACCATATCCAAATGGAATCTCCATGTAAACTTCTTTCTTAAAAACTCCATGAATAAAGGCAGTTTTAACATCAAACTATTACAATTCCCACCCATGCTGAGCAACAAGAGAGAGAGAGAAAAAAGACTCTTATAGTGTTCATTGTTGCTACTAGAGAAAATGTCCCCTGATAATCAATTTTATAAGTTTGATTATAACCATTTCTAACTAACCTTGATTTATATTGATCCAGTGTACCTTTAGACAGATATTTCAAGGTACATATATCCATCTTCATCTATCTAGTCTTTTACCCCTTGGTCTTTCAATAATCTCTTGTGTTTCTTCCATTCTTCTCCAATTCTCATTCATGGCTTGAACCTAATTCTTATCCTTCAATGTCTCTAGCACTTTTGTAAGGATTTTGATAAAATCAAGGGCTAAATGAAACTCTTATGCTGAAAGGTTTTCAAATGAGAAAAATCAGGAAATAGAATAATCCAGTACAAGACTTCTTACCTTTTCTCAAGGCAATGCGTAGTCATATGAGTCATGTTCACAATTATTTAAAGGAATGTTCAAAGAATTAGAGTCAACAAGAGGAATAGTACTTTCAGTACTTAAGAGTAGGTTTGGATGTATAAACCTTTTGGTTGGGATTTTCTCTCCTTTGACATACCAATTTTGGTGGGCCAGCCTTGTCCTTAGCTGGTTCAGATTGGCATCAATGAAAGTTCATAGTTGCTCCAACTCATCCTTATTAAGGGCTGGAACTTCATCTACCACCCTTAGGATGTCACCCGAGAGGCATAGAATATGAAGAAGTCAGATTAGCCTTGCTATGGAATACCCTTGAACCCTACTGTGTGACTAAGAACCTAGTCCTCCCATGGAGCTTAAAGCAATTTTCCTTTGTATGTCTAGACTTCTTACAATAGGAACACAAGTGGTTGTCCTTGTTGGGTTCAGAAAAAGAAGAAAAGCCTTACCTGTTATTAAAGTTGACCCATGATTGGGTTTGTCATCAAGCATGACAACTCTACAACTTTCTTCTCCTCAAAGAGTGTAAAAAAGCTCAGATAGAACAGAAGTTTCTACTTTCCAAAACCTTGAACCCTAAAAGGATCGTACTCAGAGTTTAAACCTATGAGGAACTCGAAAGATGTGTGCCGTTCAACAAAACTAGCCAAAGTGGAACCATGCTTACTACACTCCATTTTCACATTTGTTACTGATCTAGCTCAATTTACAACCCATTAAGGATCCCATAATAAGAGCATTCCTTGTATTATTGGTAGAAAAAAAATCATCGTTGTTACCTCATAATAAGTGACTATGTCGTGTTTCACAGAGTAAATCTTATGGAAGATATCCCAAATTCCTCGCGCAATGGACAAGAACATGCAATTCCGACTAACCTCTAATGTCATAGAATTTCATTTCTATATCATGACAAGGGAGTCTTCATTGTCCCACTCATCAAACTTTAGGTCTGTCTTATCGAGGATTTTCCTTTCAATATGGTTTAGCTTGCATCATCCTTTGAGGGTAGCATGAATGACTTGACTTGAGTCCATTGCAAATTAATTTTTCCTGCGAGTCGATCAGTAGGCTGCAAGACCAATCGCCATTTGAGTGAATGGTGTGGTACTAGACATGATGGACTGAGTAGTGGTGGAGTTGTGGATGGTCTCAAGGTCCGATATGGTGGACAGTAGTGGCTTTGGGTGTGACAAAGGCTCAAATCTAGGAGGAGGTTAGCTGCAATGTAGGGTGCAACTAAGAAGGCTGAGATAAAGGCAAGCTAGGATTAATTTGAAAACGCAAAGTCTCCCAAATTAGGAACTATGATCCCAACTTGAATGAAAAAGGATTGAATATTATTTCTAAATTAATGAAATATGTACAATGCATTACAATATATTTAGGCTAACTTGTAAAAAACCAATTCAACCCAAAAACTTAAGCTGTTGGGTGAGATTACATTAATGATTTTATGTATCTATAACACGTCCCTTCACAAGAGAGCTTATTGGGCTTGAAAGGTGGATGATGCATCAGATTCAGCCTACCTATGCTAAGAAATTCCACAAAGAAAATGGATGGCGGCAAGGATCGAACCCGGGACACCGAGGCTCTGATACCATGTAAAGAACCAATTCAGCCCAAAAGCTTAAGCTGTTGGATGAAGTTACATTAATGGTTTTATATATCTCTAACATAACTAAATAATTAATTTCCTAAAATCAGGCTGAATCTACATTAACTAATGATCTATCCTAGTAACAAATAATTTGCAATAATTACAGTGATCAGACTCTTGCAACACATACTAACAATATTTTCAGTTTGCTACTGTTAGCCGTATTTCTCTCTCTTACTTATTGACCATAAACCTATAATTCTTAACAATATGCAAATGAGAGATGCAAGAAAATATTTACTCAGAAAGCAATACATGACACCACAGTAAAAGAATTACCTGTTCAAATATAGTTGTTTTATCAGAACCAAGGCGAATGAGGTTGAGAAAATTGTATGAAATAGGAGGAGCATAACGAGCAATCATACTGGGAACAAGATAGAAAATAAATGGCAATTACAAGATAGCACTAGTAATTCAAGAAATAGAAATAAGCAGAAGTAGCGGTAGTACTAATAACTAAATATCATCAATAATAATGAATGAAAACTTACGAGCATATCATAAGCAAGTTAACTGAGCTGGTTTGTCTGGGTGTCAATGAGTAAAACATCAACATTCCAATTCTCAACAAGGAGTAGTATGTGCAGATGCACATGTACATGAGAGGAACAAAAGCAAACGCCTAAGCAAGAAATTGAAGATATGTGATTCAAAAAGCAGCTTGTCTTGATTTTAGAAAAAATGGAAAAATTAAAGCATTTCATCAAAGCAAGAAACGTTATGTGAGATTCCATAAGTAATTTGTTTGATTAATCTTATGTATAACACAACTCCAACTTGAATTTAATTTCAACCTTTTGTTAAACTAGATATGGTGTCATAACACAACACTTCACAGGTATTGAATTACAGCCTTAAACAAAAAGGACACAGGTTTATTTTGGTAAAAAAGATAGGCAAAGAACCAATCATATTTTATCTTCTTCTTTTTTAAAAGCACATCCAACTTTGACCAATATGCACGACAAAAAGCCTGCATTACTCAATCAGAGAGAAGTTCATATGAGACATGATAGACATCAATTTTCTTTACATTGTTATGAGATTTTCAAAATTCTAGAATGGAATCTTCATCGAAAACTTTCTTTTGAGAAGGGGAAAGAAGATTTCAGATATATATACAGCATCTCTGTGTCCACATATAAAACAAACACTTAATCTCTTAGAAACTTGGTTTACCTGCACAAGCACCTCCCGTGTTCCAACAGATTTTATAAGAATCGAGAAAAGAGATAGATCAACACTTGGTAGAAGAGTTGCCTCTGCTAAAAGAATTGCAACAGACATTATACCAAGTATAATAGCCAAGCCTTTCTCAACTTGCTTTCTTAAAACACATCGCCAGAAAAATTCTGCAAAGAACCACCATATTTATTCAGATGTCAATGCCAAATGCCTCTAATCAAAATATTCCATACTCATAAAAGGATGGACAATCTTGAGTTAACATGATGAAATAATGCAACATTAAATGTGGCATGAAACCTATTTGAGAATGGAAAAACACATTGCAAGACAGAAGAAAAAAGAAATTAAAGAAACTTTAAAGTCAAAAAAAGCATATATATATATGTATGAGCAAATTACATCGACTTCCCACCAGGTTTGTCAATATTAGGTACAGATTCTCTCTTCTTTCAAAACCTAGTAAAACTTCCATAGACAAACTTCAATGTTTTAAAATTTCTGAAGTAAACTAATTGTATCAAATACTAATTCACTCTGTGTATATACAATTATGTACTATCAAAACCGGAGCATAATTTCCACAGTCCCAGAAATGAGTTAGAGAAGCAAGCAATGGCGTTAGTTAAATGTAAAAGAATACGTTATATATTGATCTGTGTCAGGGAGTTACAATATATAGAGACCCTAATGGGCTTAAGTGTAAGGCCCAAACCTAATCCAAACCTAATCCAAACCTAATCCTAATACGGTCAGAATACAGTCAGACTATTTACGGATAAGACAGAATCCAATCATATCTAATCAAATCTAATCATATCATATCTAATATTCTAACACTCCCCCTCAAGCTGGTGCGTATATATTATGAGCACCAAGCTTGTTACAAATGTATTCAACCCGAGGACCTCTAAGAGCTTTAGTGAAAACATCTGCTAGTTGATTAGACGAGTTGACAAAAGCTGTCTTGATTTCTCCTGACTGAATCTTTTCCCGAATGAAGTGACAATCAATCTCTATATGTTTGGTCCTCTCATGAAAAACAGGATTAGAGGATATATGTAGCGCAGCTTGATTATCACAGATGAGTGTCATGGGTTGTTTCTGTTCACAAAGATGAAGCTCCTGAATCAACTGCTTTAACCAGATCAACTCACAGGTAGTATTTGCCATTGCACGATACTCAGCTTCTGCACTAGATCGGGAAACAACAGGTTGTTTCTTGCTTTTCCATGAGATTAAGTTTCCTCCGAAGAAGACACAATAACCAGAAGTAGAGCGTCTGTCCGAGGGTGATCCTGCCCAATCGGCATCTGAGTAACCACAAATTTCTGTATTTCCCTGATCCGAATACAACAAACATTTTCCTGGTGCTCCTTTGATGTATCGGAGGATCCTCACAGCAGCATCCCAATGTGAATCACAAGGGGAATCAAGGAACTGACTGGCCGTACTGACAGCGAAAGAAATATCTGGCCTAGTCACAGTAAGATAATTGAGCTTCCCAATCAGCCTTCGATAACGTCCAGGATCAGATAACGGCTCCCCCTGTCTGGGCAATAACTTAACATTAGGATCCATGGGTGTATCAACTGGTTTACATCCCAACATACCAGTCTCCTCTAGGATATCCAAGGCATACTTCCTTTGACAGATAGAAATGCCCTGTCTAGATTGCGCCACCTCAATTCCCAAGAAGTAACGCAGCTTCCCAAGGTCCTTTGTTTGAAATGCACTAAATAAATGTTGTTTTAACTGATGGATTCCGTCTTGATCACTTCCGGTGAGGATGATGTCATCAACATAGACTAACAAATAGATGCACTTGTTAGGAGATGTAATCCTATAGAATACAGAATGGTCAACTTTACTGCGAATTAGGCCAAACGCCTGTACAGCAAAACTGAAGCGACTGAACCATGCTCGAGGAGACTGCTTGAGACCATATAAGGATTTCGAAGACGACATACCTTCCCAGACTCCCCCTGAGCAACAAAACCAGGTGGTTGCTCCATGTAAACTTCTTCTTGTAAATCACCATGAAGAAAGGCATTTTTGATGTCAAGTTGAAGGAGTGGCCAGTGACGAACAACAGCAAGGGCAAGAAATAGGCGGACGGACGCCATCTTAGCGACTGGAGAGAATGTATCGCTATAATCAAGGCCAAAGATTTGAGTAAAACCCTTGGCAACTAGGCGTGCCTTGAGACGATCAACATGGCCATCAGGTCCAACTTTTACAGTAAACACCCAGCGACAACCAACTATAGACTTCTCTGGAGGAGCAGAAACAAGGTCTCAAGTGCCATTGGTATGAAGTGCGGTCATCTCATCAAGCATCGCTTGGCGCCATCCTGGATGGGAAAGTGCTTCAACTGTGGTCTTAGGAATAGAAACAGAAGAAAGACTAGAAACAAAGGTGAAATGAGGAGGAGAAAGGCGATCATAGCTCAAGAAGGTATAAAGAGGATAAGGGTTACGAGTAGTACGTGTACCTTTTCTTTGAGCAATGGGAAGAGCCTCTGGTGAAGGATCCGGAGGGGAAGAATCAACTGCAGAGGGCAATGAGTCAGCAGGGGTCGAGTCGACTGGAGGTACTGTCTTACGACGCTGATAAGTGAGAAGTGGACGGTCCTCAGGTACGGGAGCAATAGGTGATTGCTTATCTGGAGTAGAAGCACCTGCATCTGGCAAAGACAAGTCAAGAAAAGGAACAGGAAGAACATGATCAACCTGTGACAATGGAGATGGGATAGAATTAAAGGGTTGTTGATCAAAAAAGGTGACATCCGCGGAAACTAAGTAACGCTTGAGGTCAGGAGAGTAACAGCGATAACCCTTTTGAAGACGAGAATAACAAAGAAAAATGCATTTAAAGGCTTTGGATGTTAACTTATCCTTACCAGGAGTGAGATCATGAACAAAACAGGTACAACCAAAAACATGTGGGGATAAAGGAAAGAGAGTAACATCTGGAAACAATAAGTTATGAGGAATATCATTATTAAGCACAGATGAAGGCATGCGGTTGATGAGAAAGCAAGAAGCAAGGACTGCATCAGCCCAGAAACGAAGAGGAACATGCATGTGAATAAGAAGAGTCCTGGCAATCTCAATGAGATGTCTATTCTTACGTTCAGCTACTCCATTTTGTTGTGGAGTGTGAGGACAAGTGGTTTGGTGTAAAGTACCCTGTGTGGCTAAGAAATGAGAAAAGTCAACAGAAACATACTCCTTAGCATTATCACTACGTAAAATACGAATAGAAGCACCAAATTGAGTATGAATTTCAACAGAAAACTTTTGATAAATAGAAAACAACTCAGAACGGTTTTTCATTAAATAAATCCAAGTACAACGGGAGAAATCATCAATAAAGGTGACAAAATACCGAAAACCTAAAATATACACACTACGATTAGGACCCCAAACATCTGAATGAATAATTGAAAAAGGAGCATCAGCTCGTTTATTGACTCGATTAGCAAAGGAGGAGCGTATGTGCTTTCCTTGCTGACATGACTGACAATCTAAAGTTTGAAGACCGGATAAAAGAGGAACCATCTTCTGCAATTTCGCAAGACTAGGATGCCCGAGACGACTGTGGATGAGCTGTGGAGATTCTGTGAGAGAACAAGCAACTGAAGGACTCGGCACATCAAGGTAGAACAGACCCCGAGACTCACGGCCCACTCCAATCATCTTCCCCGTACCCGGGTCCTGCACAGAAACAGAATGGTTTGAGAATGTGACAATACAATTAAGAGAATTGATCAATTTACTAACCGATATTAAATTATAAGGGATGTGAGGGATGTAATAGACAGATGTCAAGGTCAATGAGGAGGTTGGACAGATTTGTCCAATCCCATGAACGGGGGCCTTAGTTCCATCAGCAAGAGTAAAAGAGGGTAAATTATTAGAATATGTAAGGGAAGAAAAGAGTTCCTTAGTACCACAGAGGTGATCAGTAGCACCTGAGTCAAATATCCAAGGACCAAGTGATGCAGAATGAGAAACACAAGCAACAGGATTACCAGTTTCTGAAGCAGAGGCCTGAGATTGAGGAGAGGACTTCCTGAGAAGGACCTGGAATGCTGCATATTCTTCACAGGAGAGAGAGACTGAACCATTTGAAGCAGTATCCGATTGAGCTACATTAGCAGCAAAAGAAGGTCGCATGTGAGGATACTTTGTGTAGCAGCGTTCCTCATAATGACCAAGTTGCTGACAGTAATGACAACGAGGTCGCTGACCACGTCCGACTGGACCTCCTGGGCCTCCTGGGCCACGACATCCTGGGCTACGTCCTCCTGGGCCTCCTGGGCCCCGGCCTCCTGGGCCTCTACCACGTCCACCTCCAATATGCCCGCGAAAATCAGTACGGGAAACTAGAGCAGTAGAATCAACAGCAGAAGACGATGCAGGAGCAGATTTCTTATTCAAATTCAGAAGACGCTGATACGTCATGGATAGATCAGGCTCCCCACTAGTCAAGATAGTATCACGAACATTATCATATTCTTCGGGAAGGGCAGAAAGTGTGGCAACCATAAAGAGACGTTCCACCTGTTTCCGATATGCAGTAGCATCAGTAGGGTAAGGCAGCATATCCAAATATGCCTGCATCAAAGAGCGACTCTTGCCAATATATGTCTCCATCTGAATGTCGGATGATTTGCTCAATTCCATAAACTGAGAGATGATGAAATAGAGCTGCTGAACATCATTAGTGTAGAGGTTTTTTGCTTCCTCCCACACTTCAGTGCAAGTTTGAAATGAATAAAAGATATCCAAGACAATCGGATCAATGGATTGCCAGAGGATACTCAGAAGCTGGTTGTCAATCTTTTCCCAATCAGACTTGTCCTCCTTAGGGACATCAGTAGACTTAGTTGTGAGATGGTTCCCATATCCTTGTCCAAAGAACCAAACTCGAACAGAGGTGGCCCAGTTCTTGTAATTAACAGATCCCTTCAATTTTGAAGAGGTAATGGACCCAATATTGGTAGAGATGATATTGGGAGAATTTCTCAGAGGAGGAGATGGAGACTTGACCTCCGAATGAATTGGAGGGTTTGCTGCCATAGTATCAAATCACAAAGATACAAACCGAATAAAGAGAAACGAACCTGATCACCAATCAAGAAGAGGTGCGCACAAAAAGTCAGACCCACAAAGAACCAACCACAGATCCAGAAAGAGGAGGAGAAGACGAGCTTCTCTGTCCAAGACCGGCCGGAAAAAGCCGCCGGAATAGTGCTCACGCGTCGGCAGAAGGTGGCGCGTGAAGCCCACGCGCAGAGAAGACTGGAGGCGCGTGAGAGCGCGTGACAACTCCGATGGTGGCCGGACTTCCACAGAGCAGGTCGCCGGGAGGAGAGGGTTCTGTTCACGTTCGTTCCAGACTGAAAACTCGCCGGAAAAGTACTCCGGCAGCCTGAACAGTGGCTGACGGTGGCTGATGGTGCTCCGG